GGTAAAAACTAGATACCACACCAGTACTCACTGGATGCCATATTTGAGTATGCTGTTCAGAGTACATGCTCAAAACAAGCTCACATTAGTAGGCTGCTAAGACTGGTAATTTCAATGGTGTGGAATGCATGTTGCAAGAGAACTTTGGAACCTCGCGACGTCAGCATGTGCTTAGCAGTTGCGCACATGGCTATGGCCTCCAGTGAATACTTCCTGTTGTGTGTCCGCCGACAAAAGAGAGACTTTGGTACGAAACGTGTCTTTATTCCGCAACCAACATGGGGAGCAACTTGCTCCGTAGCGTCCAGCTCAAGCGGCCCAATGAAACAGACCACTGGCCGCCCGGGTGCCCCATCCCAGAGTTCCCCGTGGCGTTGTACCCAGGGTGACCCGACCCGAACCTCACTCCGCCAAACACCACATTCTTCCGCACTTGATTGAGAAAGTCCCCCTTAGGTCAGTCCCCCGGTGAATAACGATCAGGAGGGCAGCGCACTCTTGTTGGATAGCGCTGAGTCGGCGTTCGAGGCCTTGAAATACTGGTCGACCCCGGGTCCGTTGAGGCACTTGTAGGTGGGCTGGCAGGGGGAGGCTGCGCTTGGCTTGCTGTACTTAAAGCTTGCGGTATGAAGCTAGCTCCATCTTCCTCCCGCGACGCCGGCGTTCCAACTTCCTGGTCCCCCTCCTGCCGAATGTGATCCTGATGGCGTCGCCAGATGACTGTGTCATGGTCCCGGTACACACGCAGCTTGTACGAGACAGGACCGCTCCTTGACAGTATAGTTGCCTTTAGCCACTTGTCTCCCCGATGGGGGTTCCACACACGTACCCGGTCCTTTATTTTAAACTCTCGGGTATGGCAGCTTCTTTGCAACATCTGGCGGAACTGATGCCTGGCCACTCTGTTTTCTACAGATGGCTTGAGAACATCCAGTCTAGTGCGAAGGCGTCTTCCCAAAAACAAAACTGCTAGCGCCTCCCCCGTTGTTGCATGTGGAATGTTTCGGTAGGTTTGCAAAAACTTTCCTAAGGTCTGCTGCAGTGGCTCCGAGGCAACTCCCTTGCGCAGCGCCGATTTTAAGGTTTGCACAAATCTCTCCGCCAGGCCGTTGCTACTGGGGTGATACGGTGCTGTTAACACATGACGTGTTCCGATCCGTTTTAGAAAGTCCTTGAACTCGTTTGACGTAAACTGTGTATCGTTGTCAGAAACCAACGTCTCGGGCATTCCAAAACGCGCAAACACCTCCTGTAGCTTTTCAATAGTCTTTGCCGAGGTTGTCGCTTGCATAATAAACACCTCTGGCCATTTTGAGTGGGCATCCACAATTACCAAAAACATAGCTCCTCGAAATGGTCCAGCGTAGTCTACATGTACCTGCTGCCATGGTTTGGTGGGCCACGACCAAGGATGCAAAGGCGCTTGCGTAGGCAGATTACGCTGTTGCTGACACTGCTCACACGCCTTCACATGGTTTTCCACATCCTGGTCCACTGAGGGCCGCCAAAAATAACTCCTAGCTACTCTCCTTGGCTCGCACTACTCCTGGATGCCCTTCATGGATTTCGTCCAGCAGCACGCTCCGTAGCTTTTCCGGCACTACCACTCGCAGTCCTAACATAAGGCAGCCCTGTTGTGCCGACAGCTCCGTGTTACGTTGAAACCAAGGTTTCAGCACTTGGTCTCCCACGTAAGGAGGCCACCCCTTCAAAACGTAGTCGTACACCCGCCTCAGCAACGGGTCTCGTGCGGTTTCTCTTGCGATGTCCCGACTGTCCACCGGCAAGGACAGTAATCTTAAGGAACAAAAAGACTCCACTTTTTCGTCACTCTCTTGCCGCCCTTCCACTGGAAGTCTGGAGAAACAGTCCGCTTCAACATTCTCAGTCGACCGCTTGAACACCAAAGAATACCTGTAAGCAGACAGGGTCACTGCCCACCTTTGCAGACGTGCAGCCGCCATTGCCGGGATCCCAGTCTTTGGTCCAAAAATAGTCTGCAAGGGCTTATGGTCCGTCACAAGCTTAAACGTGCGTCCATAAAGGTAAAAGTGAAACTTCTTCACTCCAAACAGCAACGCCAGCGCTTCCTTTTCCAACTGGCTGTACCCCTTTTCTGCAGACGTCAGTGTCCGTGACGCGTATGCGACTGGCCGCGCAGTTCCATCTTCCAATATGTGAGACAACACAGCTCCGACACCGTAAGATGATGCGTCACACGCCAGTTGTAAGGGTGCTGTTGGGTCGTAGTGTACAAGCACTTCTGAGGACATCAGCAACTTTTTGACTCGTTGGAAGGCCTCTTGACATGTACGGTCCCAGTGCCACTTCACATCTTGATGCAGTAGCTTGTAGAGTGGAGCCACTATGGTTGCCAGTTGAGGAACAAACTTGCCGTAGTAGTTCACGGCTCCCAGAAGCGATCTCAGCTGCGACACGTCTGCTGGTGCTGGTGCCTTTACGATAGCAGCCACCTTCTCCTCCGACGTCCTTATTCCTTCAGGACTTATCACATGTCCCAGGTACTGCAACTGATCCTGGAAGAAGGCACACTTTTCTCGCTTGATGCGAACGCCTCGTTCCGCAAAACGCTTGAACACCTCCTCCAGACTTCTTAGATGCTCCTCCTGCGATTTTCCGGTAATTAGCACGTCATCCAAATAACATGCCACCCCTGGGATTCCTTTCAGCATGTTATCCATTACCCTCTGGAAAATTGCCGGGGCCGACGCTATTCCAAAAGGCAGGCGATTCATGAGGTATAGGCCTTTGTGTGTCGTGATGGTCAGTAATCGTCGGGACTCCTCACTCATGACAACCTGCTGATATGCTCTGTTGAGGTCAATTTTTGAAAAACTCTGACCTCCCGCCAACACTGAGAAGAGCTCATCTACTCTCGGCAAGGGATAACGCTCAACATCCAACATCGGATTCAATGTCATCTTGAAATCACAGCACAATCGTATGGTGCCATCCTTCTTGGGAACAGGCACTAATGGTGTCGCAAACTCGCTACTGGTTGTCGGTGTGATGACACCAAGGGCTTCTAGGTTTGACAGTTCCTTTTCTACAGCTGGAACCAATGCAAAGGGTACACTCCTGGCCTTCAAAAACTTGTGATGACTTCCTTCTTTAAGGAACAGCCTCGCCTCCTCTCCAGAGATCTTCCCCAGTTCGTCCTTGAAGATGGCCTGATACCTGTCTAGTAATACTTGCAACTTGTCCACTGGCATTGGACTTGCCCCTTGTGTGCTCCTCTGAAGATTGTTGAAGCCCGTCACTTGCTTCCAGTTCAACCGCAGCCTCTGTAGCCACTCCCGGCCAAGAAGTGGTGGCCCTGACTGGTTCAGGACATACAATGGCAGGACTCTTGTTTCCTCTTGATGCGAAACTTTAACTTCCAGAACTCCACAGGGCTTGACAGTTTCCCCGGTGTACGTCTTCAACCGCAGCGCCGTCGGCTTCAAGTTCAATGCCGCAAACCTCTCACGGTACTGCTGCTTTGAGATGACTGATACCGCCGCTCCGGTATCGATTTCCATTGTCACCGGCGAATTCTCAACCAGCACTTCTACCGTCAATGGCTGGTCTTTTGGAGCTGTAATGCGGTTGACATGGGCGTCCTTAGTCACCGTTAAAGTTTTCAGCGACTTCTTCCTTCCTTGCAGCTTCCTCTCCTGAAATGAGCGGCATGCTCGCTGAATATGCCCCACTTTCTGGCATTTGTAACAGGTCGCCTCGCTGTGTATGCACGTGCGTACGAGATGCTTGCTTGACCCGCAACGGTAACAAGCCACCCCTCGCTTCTTAGTATCTTCCTTGTCACCTTTCAACTTGTGGACACTGGCGCTTTCCACTTGGTCGCTGTTGCCACCAGACCCGTGCACCTCGGATGTGCTTTTTATCGCTGTCTCCAAAGCCACGGCCCGGTCAACCGCTTTCTGGAAGGTCAACGTCTTATCTTCGGCGAAAAGTGCTCGCTGAATATCCACGCGGCGCATTCCGCAAACGAACCGGTCACGCAATGACTCATCCAAAAACGTGCCAAAGTCGCACGTTCGTGCGAGCGTCCTTAGCGCGGCGACGAACTGCGCAATAGTCTCGCCCTCCTCTTGAATTCGGCGATGAAATCTGGCTCGCTCTGCAATAACAGACGGCTTGGGTTCTAGATGGTCTCGTAGTAGCTGCGTTAGCTCGTCGAAGGACTTCGTTACTGGTAGCTGAGGAGCTGTTAGCGACTTGAGTAAGTTGTACGTCGTAGGCCCAATTAGGCTTAAAAAGGCGTCAACCTGGTCGGTTTCCGGCACATGGTTCGCTCTCAAAAACGACGCTAGTCTTTCTTCGTATGACGACCATGAGCACAACGAAGCGTCGAAATGTTCGACTTGCCCGAACTTGGCCATGGCTCTGCACCATTCCGCTGCGTCGCTTGCTCCTCCGTACCCGCTGCAGTTGCTGTCTTCTCAGGCCTACACGGCGTCCACCAGTTGCTGCTCGAGTTCTGCTCGCATGGGTGGTCGGTCGAAAGTCCTCGTCGCCACTTTATGTTGTGTGTCCGCCGACAAAAGAGAGACTTTGGTACGGAACGTGTCTTTATTCCGCAACCAACATGGGGAGCGACTTGCTCCGTAGCGTCCAGCTCAAGCGGCCCAATGAAACAGACCACTGGCCGCCCGGGTGCCCTATCCCAGAGTTCCCCGCGGCGTTGTACCCAGGGTGACCCGACCCGAACCTCACTCCGCCAAACACCACACTTCCTATAGGAGCATCTCGAAGGCATTTACAAAACAGAATGAACCCAAATAATTGCCACCACGAGTAGATCAAGAAATCCAAGTCCAGAAAACATGAAAGAAGGGCACATGAAAAGACCGATTTGTCTTATCTATCCGAGATGCTTGCCTCGTCTCTGGGTTGTGCAGGATAGAAAGGATAGCCCGAAACAAAGGCACAATGTAGATCATAGAGTTACTGCTCGTAGGCAAATGTGGCCAACTCACCCCCTTGATGCAGCAGCAAATGGCCTGGGCAGGAAGAGAAGCGAAGCACTCGTCAAGAGGGCGGAGGTTCTGCAGTTCCACCCTGTCGCTATTCCCGAAATCAATGTAGATCACCTTGGCATGATCTAAAATGGGGAGATGAGCAACCCATGCTAATTAAACACAGTTTTTGAAACAGTCATGGTTTGATTGCAACATCTAGGCAGCAATTTCAGGAAACGGTGAAAATGGGTGTAACATTCAGCAGATGACACAACTCATCTCCACGATTCCTTATTAAAGCCCCGAATTTGCCTGTGTACCAGAAAATACCATCAGGGGTGGAACTCATGAAATGTACTTGGGAGCAGCCACGGGAGCAGCTGAAACAGCCGTTTTGGAGCAGGTTGGGAGCACCTAAAACTACGCTCTGGAACAGGCTAGGAGCAGCTCAGATCTGTTTTCATTGCACTTCAGCTTGTGTCTTAGACAAGCATGGCAGCAATTTCAATCGTGCTTAGCAGCACAGATTAACATGAGTGGTTAGGGACCTAGGTAGATGGGATGGGTGTAACAGATGCGAAAACTTGGAACTTTGTGAGCCTTAATGAGAATCGAAAAGCAAGTACCCTATGTTTCTGAAGGTTACGTCCCAATTTGGCTGAAGTCTCGATTGGGCTAGAAGTTTCAATTCGGCTGCACGTTCCAGTTCAGCCGAATTGAAACTTCTAGCCGAACTGAAGTGTCCAGCCAAATTGAAACTTTTAGCTGAATTGAAGCTTCTAGCCAAATTGAGGATGTAGCCGAACTGGAACGTGCAGCCAAATTGAAACTGCTAGCCGAATTGAGGCTTCGGCCGGATTGGGACGACACCGTTTCTGAAGATAGCGCCCTTGATATTTCCTGAGCAGCTTTCAGCTGCTCAAAATGCAAACCAGCACTGCTTATCGCACAACCCACACGTGCTCGACATAGTAATTATGTGTGCAAACCATGTGACGTGCGTAAGCAACGAACGTGCAGTTGCACAAAGGAACAGGGCAACAAATTCCGAGTTCATCCTATTGTGCAACTTGATATCAAAGCAGCAGACTACGATTAACGAAGTTATTATATTTGAAGCAATAAGCAGGAGCAACATTAATGTACGCCGAGTAGATCTACCACTCGCGTAAGAGCTGCTGGCCGGCAAGGTTTCGGGTAGGATTGCGTTTCAGTTCTATCAAATCACGATTTATCGTGCGAGAATGTGGTTCCAAGTTCTAACGATGAAGTACTAAAAGGAATATGTTGCTCATCTGTTTTCAACTGGCTGACCTGGCTGACGTCCGGATCCCGGATCCCGGGCCGCAGAGCCTGAGGCAATCTGACGCTTAACGACTCGAGCTCACCTCAGCCGACTTGCTTAACCGCTTATGGTTGAAGAATAACAATTCAGTCGCAGGTGGTGTAGCACTTAGAATCCGAGCTTTTTGCGCGCTTCCGACTCGGGATACACAGGGAGAATAAACAGAACAAAGGATTGCAAGGCCGAACAGGCTAAACGCGCTCATTGTTGCCAATCGAGTCACTAAAACCGGAACCAAGACAAAATAAAAAATTCCTTGGCACACGTTTTGCGATTTGGCGCATAACGGCGTGAGGTATTGGCTGTGGGGCAGTTTCTGCAACATGGCACAGGATGGCGCAGACACATACGTCTGGCGCAAAATGGCGCAGCCGTTCCACCCCTGTACCATAGCCAGAACACAGAACAACAAAGTTTTCCCTTCACCGCATTTGGTAGGAAAGAAAAAAGCTGATTATTTTGTTTTAAATGCATAGCATGTAAAACTTTCATATTTTTAAGAGCCCTTAGGACTCTATAGAGCCTGCCATTGCCTCTTTGCACCGAGCAGACCATTCAGAAACTGTTAACGATTCTGGAATTCTTGTGACAATCAGACAGTGGCCCCAAGGGCCTCAAGCCAACAAACTCTAATAAACACACAAAACAGAAAGCACAAACAAAAGCAATCCCCCAATAAAAGAGAGAGTCTGAACTAAGGTGCTTCCAGTAGGCCAGAATGTAGTGGAGTCCACTAACTAAACTGCAACATTTGCATGCAATGAAGCCTATATTCCTCTTCGTAAACTCAATACAAATAAAAGAATGAGCTTCAGAAACAATGTTACAATTTCCAGTTTATTCGTAGCTGAACTTGGACTGGTGTGGCTCTTCACATATGCAAAAGAGAATTTGAACTCACCTGACATGACTTGCAGTACCCTTGCACGATACCAATGCCCATCTTCTGCATAGAATGCCACACAATACATCCCAATCTTGGCCTCAAAGCTTGAGACCGAAGCTTGGCCGCTGTAGTGGTTGCTGCACACATAACCAAGAAAGGTCAATTGCAACATGCTCATAAACAGATACTTTGCCAAAGTGGCCATGTCCTTCACAGCATTCTCTATATGCAGTCTCATAATCCATTGCCTGTCACACAACAAAGATAAATGCTTTTTCTTACTGTTAATGCAATAGAAGATATGCATTAACAGCATAAAGTATGACCTGCATCATGACATTAACTGCCAAATAAATTTTGTATTTGATAAGATGCAGGTCATATTCTATGCTCCAAACTTAGACTAAAGCCAAGAGTGAAATTTTATTAAGTGTTGAAAGCTTCTTTTCTCTTCTCTTGCACTGCATGTCAAGGCACACACAGAATGAGACCACTCAATATTAATTCCAAAGAAAAACTCATCTGAACAACCGTGATGGAAAAGTAACCTCCTCTGCACCATGTGAAAAAAAAAAGGTTATCAACTCCTCTAGCCTGACTGCTAAAAAAGGTCTCTATTGAAAAGAACATTTTGGTCAATTCCATTCATTGAAATTTTATAAACACAGACAATGTGAACTGCACCTGAGCTTGTGCACTGGGCAGACCTCTGAACTAGTATAACATGGCTGTCGGTCATCCCACCTGTCCAAAGCACCAGTTCAATGAAAGTGGATATGGGTCAACAAATGCCCAGGGAAGGCTTTACCGTGGTGTGGAAGACACTGGTTTCAGGAGGCATACAGACTGCCCTGTGTCTAGTTGCCTCATCTAACTAAAACTACCATAGAATACCATGCATCCGCCCATACCACATTAAGCGCCCATACCCAAATTTGTAAAATCTGAGAAAATATGCACAGTACATTGATACGTAGAATTGATGACCGGACAAGCGCCCATCCCCCATTTTTTCATGATTATCTCAAAATTTTGAGTGGGTGCTTGCCCGGTATTTTACGGTAGGTTGGCCATGCTTCGCAAGTCTCCCGTGACCTAGACAAACTACGTCCTGATAAATGGAAGTACTCGAGAGCTCTTTCCAGCACGAATTATGCACCAAGAAATATGCGTTACAGAAGACACCTGCAACTCACAATCTTCGTATGCAAGCTACACGTCGTCAACAACAAAAAGAATATCTTGTAAGCCACGTTCATGCTAAGTCACAGAGACTCACTGCAAGGCTTCCAGCAAGGACTCCAGCGTGCCCTTGGACGATTCCAACTGTAGCCAGAACTCTGACGGCGACTTGTAGAAGGAAAGTGCCACCTTTTGCATGACCCCCATTGCCTTGATCGACAGCGGTGGAATGTCCAAACACTTCGCTTCCCCAACAATCTCGGGTGTTGCCTTAACGTACGACACTGCATTGCCGTCTTGCGAGAGCTTAATCGAGGCGTCTGCGCTCGACGACCTGGTCGCCACGTATTTCGGTGTGGTTTGGGGAAACCTCGGAGTGCTCTGCGGTGGGGAGGGGACGGCCGGTGGCACATTTGCCTTGCGGACGGTGATGTCCCCCGAAGCCGCATCACTGTCACAGTCATCGACGCTACTATCGCCACACTCAAAGTTTGGAAGAGCACTCTTCTTGGCAGCAAACGGCGAGCAAGGGACGGCGCCGTTGAGCTTCCTGGGGGCAGCAACCGACGAAGATGAAGCTTGGTACAGTGCGGCTGGGGCCATAGAGCCCGGACTTCTTGAGACAGCAGCTCCCTTGGGAATGTGCGGAGTCGTGTCTTTGGGGGCAGTGGCAGAGAGAGACGAGGCCGAAGAGGACTTGGTGACAATCTTCGAAAGGTTTGCATCGTTGGGACTAGTGTGAGACGGGGCAGTTGGTGGCGAGATAGTTGCGACTTGCTGGATTGGGGTCGATGGTACGGTGGTGGGACTGTTGTGGGCGCGATCAGTCTGGGCGGCAGGAACGTTAGAAGGGGCCGAACACGAGGAGGTTTTTCCCGTGTCCAGGGGCTGTGCTGTAGGTGACGCAGCCTCGGCCGATGGAGGCAGTTGTCCCGGAGACCTAATGGAGGGCTGCAGCAGTCGCGTAGCAGAGAAAACATGTTAACTCTTTCCTGAACATGCCCATAGGCCATCGATCACCAATGATCTATGGTTTCCAAGCGCCATCAAGAAATTAAATTTAGTGCGGAGAGCTATGTTCCACAATCTCGTGGATAGCCAAAGAACTGCAGTTTTTGTTTTAATGTAGGTTTTGAGCTTTATCACAAGCTGGTGGGCTGTCAAAAACAGTCCTGGGAACGGTGGTTGCACTTGTCTAACATGGCTAACTGCTTGCATCAGCAGGGTGTCGAGTAAATTATTATTTTAAAATTCCCTGACTTTTCCAGGTTTTTCCTGATAATTTCAGGTGAAATTGCCTGACCACTGTAGAGGCGGTTAAATATATAAGACCATTACAACGCAAGGCATTGGACATTGAGAGGACCATATTGCACGGGCTTAATCCAACTTGCATATTCCATTATTTGGGTTCATCTAGTCCCGATTAAATTAGCACTTTCTTGCCGCCGACATCGTCAGTGAAAAGGCTACTTTCGGAAACACGACGCTCCACCGCACACGTCAATAACTGAATGGTAGAATGGCTGCCAAATTCACAGTTTCAGATACTTTCGGCTTAAGGCTTGGATTGTGGTCTGCGGCTTTCCCATTTGTTACTAAATCTAGTAGCTCTAATTGGATCTAGCCTAGTGTCACGACCACAATCCAATCCAAGGCTTGGACTGGATTTTTTGGCTGTTCCCTTTCCATCGGGGAGCACACTACATCGAGTGAGCAGAGCCCGCGCTTCTCTCTAAGCAGAATTTATTGCTTATTTTTCTGCCCCCAAGTGCTCTTTGCTCAGGGCACACGATGGCGTTTCCGGCTCATTTTCCCTGGCTGGTCTCGCTTTTTGACAATTTACCTGACAATTCCCTGATTTTTCCCGGCAATTAAAATTACCCTAACAATTTCCGGTTTTCCTGGTTGCTAGACACCCTGATCAGTCTCCGTGACAAAAATCACATTATTTACATCATTCAACTGTATTGTGGCATATTTTTTAGACCTCAAGAGCTCTGGGGACTCTTTGAATGATGTTATAGGCATTGCTTAACAGATGGTTGTCGCTAAGCGGCACTATGTTTCCAAGGCTGCCCCGAGCCGGTGTGCATGTTTCATGTTACCAACAAGGTGCACCAATATTCTAAATATGAGGGAACTGCGATCAAGACTACGACAAAACCAAGGTCGAACACAAGGAAAGCATTCTGCAGAGGATGGAAGGTGTACTATCTTCGTTTTACAAATGTAAGCATTCCTTTGTTGAAAAGCACACGTTATGGAGGTTAACTCTCCAATGAACCAAAAATAGACGTCAGAGTACTACACTAACCTTCAGAAGTAATAGCCATGGGTGAGGGGCACATTTCTTATATTTGGAATTATTCTTAATTGTCATTTAATTTGACATAGCTGTAAAGGTTTTGGTGTTTATATGCCTTCAGCACATACATTGTATTTTTAAGAAATAAAATTTGAAAACATTTTTTTTTCACAACCTGTTTCTTTTGAAAGAATAATTAATTGGCCACATTTTAATGTGTCATTTTGCTCCATACACAAGTTAGTCTGGAAAATAAAAGTGTTTGCACTTTGAAAACTGCTACTTTTCTCATGGTCAGGAAAAATTTAAGTAACAACTAAATCTGGAGCTAAATACCGAACTGGTGACTAAGGTAAAAATTAAAAAATCAACACAGGTGACCAGCTACTTCTGTAGATATCTGGTTTCCAATGTTTCATGTCTGTATCATCCAGCAATGTGTCAATAGACTGATCTCAATGAGTGTTCCAGCATGCCCGATGCCGCCATAAATGTAATGCACAGGAGGCAGACGCCAGTGCACAAGACAGCTCGAGCCATCTCATGCCCTGCTCGCAGAGAACTGCAGCAAGGTTGCCACGTGTGCAGAAAGACTATAGTTCCCACAATGCATGCCAGCAGCGGCGGCATAACGAAAGCAGCTGGCGGAAATGATCTTTGAACTTTGTTGAGGGAAGATAAGAATTTGAAAGAGCTCAACTTCAAATCTAAGTAAAAAATAACACAATGACTAATGGTACATTAGGCAGCAGTGCAAATATAAATAATTGTGGCTGAAATAAGAAAGTTCATACTCACTCCTAGTGACAAGCAGTGATATACTTCCTTCGCTGGGAGCACTGAGAGTTCCGAGCTACCGCTGCAGTCATTCTGGTGGATTGCATAAGTGATGGCCATGTGGTTCACTCTGTGCTCGGTGTCCACGTAGGTTTCTTCAGTGAGGAGCACATGAATCTTGAAAAGCTTGAGGAACATTTGCTCCATTGTGCTCGTTGCATTCATGAACTGACAGAGAAACTGGTTGATGTTCGATATGCCTGCCACATGGCCCACCATCTCGTCCATCTGCAATGAGCATGGAAACAATTCAAATTGGCTTTAATTTAAAGGGTAAGTCCACCCATTTTTTCCCCCCAAGATTGTATAAACAATAAGTAAAATAACGCAGCCAAGCAGGTTGGGAAACAACCAAAACCCTAAGACGAGAAAGAAAAATAGACACAGAACTCTTCATCCCAGTTTTAATTATTTAGAATCAATTAGAGACGTCGAGATCTTGAGATTCGAATTATAAAAGGCTTTCAAATTTCTAACCTCGCAGAAGGTCCAAATTCGAGATGTATGAAACTTTCAAACATCATGGATATGAAACTTTCAAACACCATGGATTCGCAAAGTTTTAAGCTTTAGAGATTTCTGAAATTGACGGTTTCAAATTTCTTTGAGGTTCAAGCGAAACAAATTGAAAGACAGATTCAGAAGTTTTCTCAAGTTCAAGCTCACCAAGTTCAAAGTCTTTGAATCTCAATTCCACCTTCAAATAAGTTTCAAATTTATATACAACATATTAATTCATTTCAAAGCCAACATGTGAGCTATGTACACCAAAATTCAAGCATACAGTGCTGTACACTCCAATTCAAGGACAAAGGCAAGCTGCTAAAGCCATTGCTATTGCCAGCCTGCAAGCTGGCTTGGAGGCTTGACCTGTTATTGGAGCTTGGAATCCGCCTTCTATGACACCGATCATACTTCGATTTTTGATGGTCACAAATTCATGTTACTCCAACGTGAGCATGGACATTGGTAATTTTCAGCAGGTGCTAAGTGTTCAAAACGAGTGCAGTACATTCTGGTTGAAGCATGGTTTGGAGGCTAAATATGGTAGCATTTGATTCACCCTTGAACTGATTATCCTAGGTGTGGTTCAAAGCTTGTCAAACTTCTGGATTTTGCAAGCTCAAGATTCATAAAATCTCCAGTAAACTGAATAAAAAGTACAACCATCATAGATTGTTGCAATACAAGTTTAGAAGTTGAGAAGTTATACAATCGCTCAAGATAATAAGTTTAAAAGTTTGAAGATTTTCAACACTTTGGAACCCCCGGGTTTGAGTTTGCAGAAAGAACAATGGCATACAACATAGTTCGCAAAAGTTGAACAACAAATTGTATGCAAACAAACTGCAGTAATAAGAAGCAAGAGTGATTATAGAATACCTCACTGATACTGAAAATATATCAAATGCATTTTTTAAACAGCAACAAAGTGCTCGACTGAGGTGTACGAGCGATCCGCGGAAGCTGCCATGGTAGAACTTTTTGAGACAGTTTCACAGCACATCACAAAGAGTAAAAGTGGGCACAAAACTATCCTAAAATGGTCACCAACACATATGGTGCAGTGAGGTACCATAATTGCAGCACAAAGCAATATATTCTGCACTTTCTGCATTTCCTAATGCAAAAAAATAGCAGCATTGTAGCTAGAGGAATCTTGAGAAAAAATACTTAAAGGGCAACTCCACTTCATTTTTGGTTTTGAAAAAACAATGCAGTCCTTTTCAGTATCGCCTAGGAAGACCACACGTCAAATATTACTACGCAGTTCTGTCTAAATGTTTCTTAACGGTCCGGCAAACTTTGCAACTCGCCAAGTTGCCGAAATCGGCTGGCTCGAGCGAGCGACTTCAGGCGCAACCAACAGTGCAATCAAGGCTATGGTATGGGCATAGCCAACATTGAGCTAAACGTCATCTCCATTGCCCTCTTTTGTTTGTTTTTACTTCTCCGGGCGACCGTAGCGGATGATGTCAGCATTGTAGTCTCACCGTTCGTGATTATCGCCTCTCGGAGTTTCGTCTACACTAAAGACAACATGTGCGAAGACTTATGCCGCAATTGTGCAGACGTCATTGAATGTCGTAGACACCAAAATGTGGCAAAGAGTGTGGTGCAGACGACACTTGCGCCTGGCAAACGCCCGCCCCACTCCCGCCCGTCGTTGCAGAGAGGATCACGTGACATATCGTACCACATGATGGCCATATACTTGGCGGCCCGAGGCCGAAGTTGCCGGATGAAGCCGAAGTATAGGTTTCGATTTCTGCTCGTGTTTAAAATTAGATTTAAAAATATATATCCCATTTTTTGCGAAGCAAACGACGTAGTGTCTTTTACTAGAACTTTTTAATGCGAAAGCACTCATTATCCCAAAATCTTCGGAACTGAGCGGAGTTGCCCTTTTAACCCTTTGCGGTCATGGGTCAGGCGTGGCCCGGCATTGGAGAAACGCGTTTCCGGTCAGTTGTCGGATGTCGCCCGACACGTGACTCCCGCTCTCGTTTAAACTTATTCCTCCGTTCCTTTTGGCTGGATAGGTGGCGCCATCTCTCAGCATGTTTCTTTAACACTTCATTGTTTCTATAGTTTGAGTTTTTTTGTTTTTTTTTCTATAGAGGGCAGAAGCGCTCGTAAGCAACGGAGGCACAGGACGCTTCATATTTCGCTGGCTGGAAAAAAGTATGGCAGCGTTTGCGCTACACTCCTTTTATGGGAACTCCTCGTGTGATTTCGTGGAGAGTGATGACTTCAGCAAGAGGACAATTATGTGCATACATCAAACGACGATGAGACATCCACTGCTGACTGCAGTCACAGTAGTGACAAAGAAGTGAGTGTACAAGACAAGAACACTGGACCCTTTCCACCACGTGCGCTGGCGTTGTCCTCAAGGACCGCCTACACAGACGATCTCCCAGACTTCCCTGGTGTGGCGTTCACCGTTAGCAACCCTACACCACAGGCTGGATTGTCAAATCTCGGCTCCGAACTTTTTCCAGTTATTTTTTACGGATGAACTCATTGGAGAAATCGTGCAAGAAACAAACCGGCATGCCCACGAGAAAATTTCATCCATGAATTCACTCGCTATGGATATGGAAAGTTCAATATGGAAAAGTTTGGAAGACGTTTTTGTAGAAGAATTGAAGGCTTTCTTCGGTCTTCTCATGAATATGGCCCTCAATCCCAAGCTAGACATCAAGGATTACTTCAGCCAAGAAATTTTGAAGAAGATGCCATTTTTTTCAGCCGTGTTCACTCGCACAAGATTTCTCTAGATATTTTGGATGCTGCACGTATCTCCACCTCCGCAAGGTCCCTCACATAAGCCGGCAGGTGGTAGCAAGGTGAGAAACATTGTAAACTGCATCGACACAAAGTGCCTGAGCATTCCAAGCCCGGCCCGAAAATCTGTGTCGATGAGAGTACAGTTGGCTTCAAGAGCAGGGTCTCATTCAAATGCTACAACCTGCAGAAACCAACGAAGTGGGACCTCCGTGTCTATGTACTCGCCGACTATGGAACAGGCTACATGTCAGCATTTGAGCCCTTCTACGGTAGCACAACAACCAGAGAGCCTCTGCCAGCCAGACCTCTCCTTCACGTGTCGGATCGTCCTGCACCTCCTCGATCAACAAAAAGTGCAATGCGCTTCACACGCAAGCAAGTAACACCTCTATATGGACAAGTTTTATAAGTCCCCACAACATGCTGAGGAGTTGCTCTCTCAGGACACTTTGCTCACTGGCACTGTCATGACCAACAGTAAGCAGATGCCCCAGCAGCTAAAGAAGAGGAAAAAGGGTAACGTGGCAACATATTGGAAGGGAGACTCATACTTGGCCCTGGCTTGGCAAGATAAGCGCCAAGTTGCCGTGCTGAGCTCAGCACAGAATCCCTCGACGAAGCCTGTGGCAAGAACACGGCCATGCTGTGACACTGGACAAGCCAGTAGTCATTTGTGACTATACAGAGAACATGGAAGCTGTTGATCGGGCCGACCACTACTGCGCGAGTTACGCGTTCTGCCACAAGTCCCTCAAGTGGTGGAGAAAGCTTTTCTTCTGGATCCTTGCCATCGTCAATAGCCTTTTGCTAATGCAGATGCAACAGGCTGTTCAGGGACTGAAGGGGCAAAGGCACCTCCAGTACCGCCGTAAGCTGATCGAACAGTTGGTCGGGAACTTTTGAATGCGACCCAAGAAAAGAGGGCGGGCATCACAATCCGACACTGAGGAGAGATTAAATGGAAGGCAGCACTTCATATACAAGCTCCAAGAACGTACCAGCAAAGACTGCGCAGTGTGCAGCGATCGAAAGATGCAAGGAGGCAGGAGAGAAACAGAGCACGGGAATGCAGAAGCACTGTGAAAATAAATATTTCTTGTTACCTCTGTACGCTGCAGTATTTTTTCTTTCTCCTAGCTAATGCAAGCAAAATAATATCTGACCGCAACCATCGTCAAGTTGGTCAGGCTACCTGACCGCAAAGGGTTAAGTCCCCTGCATTGAGACTTACCCGGCTGAGGAGACGTTCCAACAGGTTCACAATGAGATGTTTTTCCTCGTGAAGCTTCTTGAGCCGGTCTTGCAATTCCTCTTGGCCTTTGTCAAAAGCCCGGAGGTTCGCCATCCTGAAACAAAGTATGATGGTCACACTTGACAAAACAGTAAAACACAGAATGTTTTTCAGTCAGTAAATCTTGGCACCATCGTTTTTGTACCGAGACTCATACCGCAAGTTTACAAGAGAGTGAAATTGGCTGTCGCTACCGTCACATAATTGCTTATGCCAGCCAACAAAAAAAAAAAAAACGTCACCTTAAAGGGGCACTGACACATCAAAATCATATTTTTTTATTATCCGAAACGGTCGAAAACGATGCCGGGACATTACCCTCAAAATTTGAAATTTGGGAATTCAGTATTCGTGAAGTAAAAAAACAATTTCCAAATGCCGAATTCGAAGTTCCCGCGCGATCGGCGCCGGTGCCTTGACGTCAAAAATTGCGGAGACCTGAGAGTCTCCTTTCCTGTCACCACTCCCTGCTGTTGCCATGGCGACCCAAAGCGAGGAGGAAAGGAGCGAGCGCCGGCTAGCGCCGGCGTTGCGGCGGACCGGTTTTGAGCGGTGTCGCCTGTTTTCCGTTGGAGGATACAAATCCAGGAGACGGCACCACAACGAACTCCCGATTTTTGGTATTTCAAAAAGAAGGGCCGTAGTGCGTTTGCAATTGCGTTAAAAAACATGTTTTAGGATTGCCGTCATTAAATTTTATAAAGATGCCGCCTACAAAGCTTCTAAATTTCCTGATTTTTGACGTCACCGATCAAAAGAAGCGAGGAGGCGAGAGGCGGGAAAATCAAACGCCAAAAATAAAAAGGCGCGCGTGCGCGCGGGAAATTTTTTTTTCGCGATGCGTTTTTTTTTGCGTGTCTATGGCTGCAACTTGCATCGTTTTAGACAATAAAAATAAATACGACCTTTGGGGTGTCAGTGCCCCTTTAAAAAAAAAAAAATGTTTTCGTTTAGTTTAAGTAAGGTGCCTTTAAACCAGTGCCTTTGAAGTATGGCGACACTGGCTTACGCTACAGGTTAGAAATTTAGCCAGTGCAGTACAACTACTAGCCTGGGGTCTTCATTCTGCAGTAGCACTAAACGACCATATACTGGCAAAATGCTCATCCAGGTCGAGGCGCCATTGATGAGGGAGTTCTGCTGCGGTGGTGACACCATATTCTATATGTCGTAACACTTCTGTATTTTGCTTTTGGGTCTTAAAGGGGCCCTGCAAGGATTTTTTACTGGTTTGTAATTTGCAACGAACCTGAGCGCACTGAACGTAGTAACTTAATGAAACGTTTCTTTTCTCGAAATTCGCTTTATTTTAAAAGTTATAGGCAAATTAAAATTACAAAAAAGCGCAAAAAATAACCTCCCTCATGACGTCCTTGGTTGCTTGAGTGGCCGCGAACTAGAGGAGGCTTAGTGGGCTCATCGCGAGCACTCAGAGCTGCCGCACTCCGTGTCGACGGCGCTACTAAAGCATGTTCTGGATAGGCCGTATGCAACGGGCGGCCAGAGCGGTTCTCATTGCATTTGCTGTGCGATTAAACAGTAATTCGGCATGCCACTTCATTGGCCACAAACGACAGCAAACACGGGGTAAAGATCAGTTCAGAATGGGAGCCTCTTCGCGCTGCCATACCGCGAGACGTCCAAACCGCAAGACAAAGCTTATCGCCGAAGGCCTTCGGAACGCTCGGAGCCGGTCGGATCCTTCTGTCCATACGACCGCAGCGCCGCCGCGTACATCCGGGTCCTCTCCGTGTCGGCGCCTGATCCCACTATTCCTTTCTAGTATGCGCAACCTTTTCCACGGCTTGGTGGCGGGTGTGTCGACGGGTCATTTCTTGTTTACGTACTTTATAAACTGCATTTGTTTCTTTTCTGATCTAAAATACTGAACAAAAACTACTTTTATGAATAACTGAAACGGTTCGCACCACTTATATTTTGTATTTCGACTAAAAAGAGGCTTTTAGCGTCTCTGACCAGTAGTAAGCCCAGGACCAAAGACGTCACAATTTGCGTGCTTTCGGTACCGCAGGTCGCCCTCGTCAGTGGAGGAGGTTTCTGCGTCGTCCGGTTAAAATATAACGCACTGATATTTAGTTACTCTCTCCGTGCCCGCTGGCTTGCCCGAACCCCAAAAGACGTGGAAACCGCAAAAAAGGTAGACGCTTAAATATGATTGCAGGGCCCCTTTAAGTTTTCACAAGTTACCCTTGCCAAACAAGCAATTCATGTTAAAAGTCTGGAGTGAGAACAGAAAGAGCTGACCATCCTCAGATCTCAACCAAAGAAGACTGGGAAACAGCAGCCCGCGTGGAAACCGTGACAGCTTAGTCAATCCAAAAAATGTTCAGTTGTCTCTCCCAAAAAGATACATCTATGCAAATGTGCAATCTCAATTGGCCTTTTCGTCCGTATCCACTGAACGCCATATTTGAGTGCGCTGACCAGAGGTCAGCATTTTAGATCCCCCTCACTCACCCTCACCTTCACAGCTACACTCACCCTCACAGCTACTCACCTTCAGCCCCTCATCCTCACAGTTTCGCTCACCTTCAGCCCTTCACTCACCCTTACTGAACCTTACGGCCCTCACGCACTCATGGTCCTCATGCCATTCACCACCCTCACGCCACTCACTCCCTCATGGCCTCGCGCCCCTCACTGCCCCACACACTCATTGCCCTCACGCACTCATGGCCCTCACACCCCTTACGCCCCTCACACGCATGGCCCTCATGCCTCTCAGGCCAGCTTCGGATGGGGCACTTTCGCCCAGAAACTTGACGTCGCAACACCAGCAACACGGGCCACTCGCGTTCACATGCAGCAACCAATTGCTGCAATTTGCCATCATCATCATGAAATTTTATTTTTCTTGCACTATTTAGACACATAATTACACGCTATAAACGTGTTTTTATGCATCTGAATCTCGTTAAGAATACTAATGCACCTTTCTGAAACAGTTTATTTCCAAAAACGATCAATTTCAAACCAGAACCAAGTCTTTCGTTGTCATCATCACCAGCGGGAGGTATCACGTGAAAATATTGCGTCCCTGATTGGATGCAGCCGCTTCAAATGTCTTCGAATTGCTCCGAGTTGCTCGCTTATTTTGAGCCGAACCCAATCTCAGCAATTTGTGTCGATCTAGGAAAAGCTAGAGAACAACCCGCCATCAACACCAAAATTGCTGAGAAAGTTGCACCATCTGAATGGGGCCTCAAGCACTCACCGCCCTCACGCACTCATGGCCCTCACACCACTCATGCACTCATCGCCCTCTCGGCCCTCATGTACTCATGGCCCTCACGCCACTCACCGCCCTCATGGCCCTCAAACCCCTAACGGCCCTCACTCATCCTCACACTCATGAAATTTCCTGGTTCAGAAACTCACTCACCCTCACCTCACCTGTGAAGATGAGGGTAAGTGAGGGTGAGTGAGGGCCCCCATGAGTGAGGTTTGCCAATGTATGGCGCTGACTACTGGGTGTGCACGGAACGAGCTCACACTTATAGGCTGCCAACACCGGCAACCTCGATGGTGTGTGCAAGCACAGAGGAAGCTCACTGGCAGCACACACTCAGCAGAGAGGGGCTCAGCTATTGCTGCCAGTGAATACTCCCTATACTAAAGTAGCAACAGCTTTAGAGGTGCTGCTATCCAACGGCCCCAGAGCCACATGACAGGTGGAAATTTAGAAATAGCGGTTCCCACAAGCCTGATCCTGGCCTTTGGAAAGTGCTTTTCTCAAATTTCCATGCGCCCCAAGGTTTTGACAGTCGCCTAGCTACAAAATGTTCCCAAAGCTCTAGGACATCCTCTTGAACTGGGGAAACAAGAAAATCTAGTTTTCCGATGACTGATGTTGACCATGTTGATTCTGGCAGCAGACGATAATTTATTTATACCAACTTAACTTTTTATGTCATGCCGTGGCAGTGGTATTTTGAGCACAATTTCAGTCTGGGCTGTGGGCAAAAAATGCTAGTCGTGCCAGACATCGCTATGATGTTTTGGCAGCAAACAATAGAAACCTGCCTCTTCGTCCAAGTGCCATAGCGTTCTGTAGACCGGAGCTGCACCGAAAGAGCTGGGAAGGGTGTCAGTCAGTTCTCGTGTGTTTCTTGCAATCCGATTCGTCCGAGAACGTGGATATGCAAGAATGAACTAATAAATGCCATCGGAGCACAGTCACCTACGCGGAATGCCCTCTGCAACAGGTAAATTTTTGGAAGCTTGTATGCACAATTTATTAGTAATGTTCCAACACGAACACAGGAGCACCGTCAAGAGGTGTGGACCACTCAGACTACTATGTTCCCACTGTGTTTACATTCGAATGTCAACAACCAATAGTAGACCATGTCAACCGACATTCTACGCAACATAGACATGGTAACTGTGATGCGATGTAAATGTAGGCCTACCAAGACTTGTAAACAAGCTCGGTGTAAACTATATACAAGGTGCTGCTGACTGCTGTGATCGGTGGCAATCATCTACTCGTTTTGCCGGGTATTCATGATGCAATTCAGCTTGCAATTTAGAGTTTCAATGTTGGACACTGCAGCTTTCATCCACGCTTCTTTTGCAACATGAGTGATGTCGCAAATGAAAATTGCGAGCAAAATCGGGCTTCAGGACTTCTCCTGCCGCGTTCACGGAGGTATGATATGATATGAAATATTATATCGTACCTGCGAGGGGTCCGGTCAACTCGTCAAGCGCCAATTGGTCAAAGGCCAACTCGTCAAGCGCCAATTGGTCAAAGGCCAACTCGTTAGATAGGACAACTCATCATAGGTCCACTGATAAAAAGGACAACTCATCAAAAGGGGAAACCTACCAAAGGGCAGTTTGTCGAATTGGGCATTCCAGGTGAAGGCCATTTCACTGTAGCTGTTCCTTGTTTCCTTTAGTCTTTAGACCTTATATTTCTTTGGCTCCCTTTGTACAGAAAGCAGACAGAATGCAGTCCACACGAATCGATCATATAATGCATTCATATGGGGTACAGAAGCTAAATAAAAATTGCCCTTCGGCGAGTTT